GAAGCAAAAAAAATGTATAATAATTACATAAAAGAAAATTTGCTATGCCGAGTTTGGAAAATCTAAATCGTATCTTGTATAAGCACTGTCGGGAGTTTCACCTGGAAATTTAGGGGGTCATTTGCTCAAATGTTCTCACTGGGATTTTAAGTCGGAAGGAATACTGCCTTTAAAAAATTTTTCGAGATCATCATAAAAAGCAATCTTCTTTTTATCTTCTTCGGTTAGGCTTTGATCTGGCGGAGTAGGCTTGGGTAGCAAATGACAGTTGACATCTTCTCCTCCGCTTTGACTTATCAGTTCGTTAAAAAAATTTATTTTCACAAAATAATCCTAATTTTTTAACTTTTGTGCCATTTCCAACAAGGAGTATTTTAATTGCGATTGACTGTTCCAGATAAATCCTTGGTCTTTTTCGTATTTAGGAATAATGTGGAGATGGAGATGAGGAATACTCTGGTAAGCGATTTCATTCATATTACTAATAATATTGAACCCTTGGGGGGGAATTGATAATTTGGCATTACTTAAATTGTTAATAATTTCTTGTATTAAAGGCAATAAATATTCCCAACTTTTGGCGTCCACAGTAGCAAGGTTCGGAAAATGTTCCTTCGTGATAATTAAAGTATGGCCGTCGCTGACCGGAAAAGCATCCAAAATGGCTAGAGCCTTTTCATTTTCGGCAATAATAAAAGCGGCTTTTTCGTGGTTAACGATTTGGCAAAACAAACATTTTTCTACCATATTTTTTCTTTCTACTAATATTATTTGTTTTATTATGTTGATAATAAAATGACGGAGTTACTATTACCAAGTTAAATGTAAAAATTAAATTAATGTTAAATAGTAGAATCTTAAAAAAATTACAAACCGAACAAAGAAAACTGGACGAGTTTATTACCCAAAAAAATAATATTACTGATAATTTTAAAACCAAAAAAAGTTTTATCCGGACTAAAATTGCTCTGTTAGTAGAAATCGGCGAATTAGCCAACGAATTAAAAACTTTTAAGCATTGAAAAAAACAGAAAGAAATTGATTGAGACAAAGCGCAGGAGGAATTAATTGACTGTTTACATTTTTATTTAAGTTGGACCAATGCTTTTCAAATTGATTTTGCGGATTACCAATTTTCGCCAATATTCTCGGATAATAATAATGACGAGGTCATTATTCCTTGCGACTTGTCTCCTGCGTCTATAATTCAATACAACAAACTTATCTTAGCACTTTTTTCCACCACAGAAAAAATGATAGTAATAAGCGAGGAAAAAACCAATCCACAAGAAAACCAGAAAAATTTCTATCACTGATTAATAATTTTTGAAGAACTAGGCCGGAGACTAGGTATGAATGAAAAAAATATTACCGAAACCTACTTAGCAAAAAATAAAGTTAATTGGGAAAGACAAAAAAGTAATTATTAGAATTTAAAAGGTAATTTATAATGCCAAAAAAAGACTATTACCAAATATTGGGAGTATCAAAAAACGCTCCCGAGAGTGAAATTAAAAAGGCTTATCGTAAGTTGACTCTAAAATGACATCCTGACCGTTGAGCTAGTAAAAGCGAGAGTGAAAAAAGAAAGGCGGAAGAACAAATGAAAGAAATCAACCAGGCCTACGGGGTGCTTAGCGATAAAGAAAAGAAACAAAGATATGATGCTTATGGTAGCGAAGAGACTTTTTTTCGTCCAACCGGCGGAGCCGATTTTGAAAGATTTCGCCGTTCTTCTCCGATTATTGATGAGATTTTAAGCAGTTTTATGCAGGACTTTGAATTTCGGGGAGGAACGGAATACTGGCAAGATAGAGCCCGTGCTGCTAACAGAGAAAAAAATCCCCAACCCGGGCAAGATTTAGTTTTCAGTTTACCTTTGACTCAAAAAGAATTAATTTCCGGGACGAAAAAAAAAGTTGCTTTTTCTGTTGCTAGGATTTGCCTGCGATGTCAGCAAACTGGTGTCGATACTGAATGCGTAATCTGTAAAGGACAAGGAATAATCGATGCCGTTCAGCAAACCTTTTTGGGAAATTTTCGTTTTCAGACTACTTGTTATCGCTGTCAAGGTCGTTGTCCTCAATGTCTTGGTCGCAAATTTGTCATCCAAAAGAAAACTTTGGAAATTAGTGTCCCGCCCGGTCTCAAACCTAACCAAAAACTTCGTTCTCGGGAAACAGGCAACGACAGTTTACACGGTAATCCTAGAAGAGACGTTTACTTTGAGATAAAAATTAAACACAATGATTAACGTTAAGAACTAACTTCTCTTTCGCTTGACTTATTAGTTGAATAACCTTGTAATGAGTGTAAATTGTCTGTAAAAAAAACAAACAGAGAAAGAGAAAAAACGAGATAAATATCCTAAGAAATTGTTAATTTGCTAGCAATCTCTCTCTCTCTCTCTCTCTCCTTAAATATAGTTAAAATAATGTATCAATCATAAAAAATCATGAATGAAAAAAATAATGAAATCACTAAGAATAATCCTAAAATCGGGAAAAAATTAAGTCGTAAAAGTATACTTCTAATAAGTGGTGGTATATTGGTCTTAATGATTGGGGGACTGGCGGTTTACGGCTTGACAAGACCAAGCAAACACGAAGAATTACAACCAATAAGCGAAGAAAAAATACTAGTGATTCGGCAAACAGCAGAGGAAACAGTTAAGACTTTTTGGAGAGAAAACAGTAGTGTGTCGGAATTAATAAATGGAAAAAGCGTGATGGGATTAATAGGAATAGTGCACATAGAAGGTAAATTTCAAGGTCTAAAAACTAAACTGGAAATCAATAACGAAAAAGACCGATTAATTAAATTAATTACATTAGAAAAGGAAAAAGAAAAAAGCAAAGAAACAATTGAAGATAATTGGACAAACAGATGCGGTGAAGATTTTCTAATTAACGGAAAAACTGAGTTCGAAGTATTGGGTAAATGTTGAAGAGATGTTCTTAACGACAAAAATACGGTGGAAGAAGTTGAAACAGAACGAGTCTACATGATTAAACTGATAATAGACGAAAAGAAAAAGGAAGAACCATTTATTCCCGAAACAGGACGAGAAGAAGGTATAATTTCTCCTTATATTGTTGGAGACGAGCATAAAACCGAAGAAAGGGTTGCTGATGAAAATAATGATATGCAGGGGGCAATTGGAGAAAAACGAGAAGAATTAACACAAAAAGTTGACGAAGCAACGTCCGAAGAAGACCAAAAAGATGATGACGAGGAGGAGGGACGGGAAATATTTTTAGATTCTCCAACACATATGGATGATGACACAAGAATAAATCCAGCAAGCAGTTTAAAAAATAATCCAGGTTTAAGTATAGAAACGAATATCCCAGTCTCCTCAACTTTCTCAATAGCAGAGAAAACCGGTTCAGGAGAAGAAGCTTCTTTTAAGAGTTTTTCTTTTTCTCCTGGAACTCCCGAATCCAAAGACAAAAAAGAACCAAAAGAAAGAAGAAAATCAACAGCAGAAAAATTTTTTAATTTTATGGGATTTAAAACTCCAACAAAGGAAAAAGAGACGACGATAATGACTGATAACCCTAAAACTTATTCATCAGAAGAAGAAGCGGGAGAAAATAGTGGCAGTAAAAATCCTAGTATAGATTAATAAAAATTAATATTAGATTATGTCCCGAGTCCGAAGCACGCCTGCTACTCTTAAACGTAGGAAGAAATTTTTAAAGCAAGCGAAGGGATATTTTGGTTCCAAACATAAGTTATTTAAGTCGGCTAAGGAACAAGTAAATAAATCCTTAGTTTATGCTTATCGAGACCGGAAGAAAAAGAAAGGGTTCTGACATCAGGAATGGATAAAGAGAATAAATAACGCTTGTCGCCAACGAGGATTAAATTATTCACGATTTATGCGTTTACTAACCTTAGCCCAAATTAAATTAAACCGCAAACAATTATCAGAAATAGCATTATGAGAACCTTCGGTGTTTAACGATTTAATTAGCAAAGCACAAAATCCTTGAAATTAAGTCAAAAGATTTGTCCTACGGTTATAAATAAAAATTAGCATAAATATTGGTAATCAAAGCAGGATATCAAAAAAAATTTACTAGTTCTTCTATCGTGTTTTCTTAATTATTGATAGGTCAAGCAACTAGGGCAAAGGTGGTGAAATAATTTAATTTTTTGACAATTACGGCAGTGAACTAATACTTGATTGCTAAATTTTTGGGAAAATTGTCAACTACTTACTGAGCGACCTAGTCGAACTCTACGTCGGGACTTTCTTCGAGCTGGAACTGCCATAACTTATAAATCTAATTATTATTTTATTTTTAGATATTTCTTTATTGATTAATTTCCTCTTTGCCAACAGAAAAAAGTAATCAAAAGCATGTTATAATGATGTCAACTGTTAACAATTGGTTATTCAAGCCGCAAAAAGTTTTTTCCGCAAATAATGTTTACATCGTAGCAGTCTCTGGTGGGCCTGACAGCATGTTTTTATTGGATAATATGCGAGCTAGAGGCTATAAAATTGTTGTGGCTCATGTCAATTACCACAAAAGAGTTGACAGTAATTATGACGAGAAGCTAATCAGAAATTATTGTCAAAAATATTTTTTCCCGCTGGAAGTTTACTCGGTGGGAGATAACGAATATTCTCCTCCGGCTAATTTCCAGTCCTGAGCCCGCCAAATCCGTTATGATTTTTGTTGGCGGGTAGCCCAAAAATATCAAACTCGGTTTTTGGCAGTGGCTCATCACCAACAAGACCATTTAGAAACTTACTGATGGCAAAAAAATCGCCACAATTTAGTTGATTATTGAGGTTTGTCAACTGCCGTTCGTCAAGGGAAAATTTGGATTTTACGTCCGCTCTTGTCCTTCACTAAGGAACAAATAATTCAATACTTAATTGACCACAAAATTGACTATGCGGTTGATAGCACTAATCAACAGCCTATTTATCAACGAAACATTTTACGTCCCTTTATCGCAAACTTGAAAGAGGACGCTCGTCTGAGTTTGCTCGAAGAAATAACCGAAAAAAATCGCGAATTAAAAAAAACAAAATCGTTAGTCAAAAAACAAAAGAAATTTTTTATTCTTTCGCGTCCGCTTTTCCGGTTAACCGCCATTAATTTTTCTCCTGAAATATATCTTCGTCTGCTCTACTACTGAATTAATCGAGCTACTGGTGGATTGCTTCATAATCAAAAAAAAAAACTCTTGACTGAGGTTTATAAGCAACTCTTTTTGAGTCCAAAGAAAAGTCTAGTTATTAATTTGGGAGCCGGTTGACAAATAATCAAAAATTCTGATCGAGCAATTATTTACAATGTTAAGATGAAAAGACCACTCTAACAAATAAAAAAATTTATTTTTTTTAAGTTTTATCTAAATAAATTAAAAATAAAATTAAATTATAAATATAATAACAAAAAAGTATTATGGTTTGTTTCCACATTAATGAAATCCAAAAAAAAATAGATTTTGTGTTGAGCCGCATTGGCAACTATGATTCAACTATTTACCGAAAATTATCCTCTATCGTTAATGAAAAAGATATTGGGGCCAAACTCGTGGTTACTAACCGGGGAATGATCAAAGACGAAGAGCAAGCACAGGCTACTTACTCAGCCTACGATTTTGATTATATTCCGGATGCTATTGTGGTCGAAAATCTGGAACAAATAAACACTTTAATTAAGGAATGCAATTGTCAAAAAGAAAAAGAGACGAAAGATAAACAAGTATCTAATCGCATGACTAAGGGTAAAAACGTTAGGTTAATAAAATCTCTCTACTAGCAGCAGCGATTTAAAATATTATTTCTTATGCCAATAAAAAAAATAAACTTGGAAAGTGAAAGTAAAAAAACAGGCGATATTGCTAAGTTTAATTGGGAATTAATAAACAAGGAATTAGTAATAATCGATGCTTTTAGTTTATCAGCGGAGATAAATGCTTCACTAAGTGCTTTTACGGGCACACTAGATAAAAAAAAATTTAAGAGCGAAGAAGAGAGGCAAAAAAAGAAAAAAGAAAAGCAAATTGAACTTCTAGTTGGGGTTTGTAATGATTATCTAAACAAGGTTATTAAGGGGGATGAAGCCTCCGAGAAAAAAAAAGCCGAGGAGGAGTTAGAAGGATTAAAAAAATTAAGTTCCAAAAAATTAAAAAAACTGGGAGAAGAAAAAAACTCTCAAGAATTTTATGACCTTTATGATGATTACGCTGACGAAGATAAACAACTCTCTCCCTTATGAGAAAAAGATGAAAAATTAGCGAGAGCGATTAGTTTATTAGTTGTGGCAAGAACAGAGTTGTCTTTTGATATAGCCCGAGAAGAATTTGAAAGTAATTACGGTGAACATGAAAATGAAGAATTAAAAGGATTAATTGAATTGGTAAAAGAATGTTGTCAAAAAAAAACAAAAACATTTAAAGATGGGGGTGCCAATTACGAAGCCCTAGAAACCACCGAGGAAAAAATTGAACTTTTAGAAACTTTAATTTTTAATCAAAAAATTTTTCAAGATTTTGGTAAACAAGAATGTGGTGATAAGGAAAAAGACCTAATAAAGATTGCTTTTAATAAGGCTTACTGCGAAAGAGCAAATGAAATAGATAATTCGATTGAAAAACTAGAAGAGGCCTTAAAAGGATTAAAGCCGGGTATTGAGAACGAAGACAAAAAAGGAGACAAAACTAACGAGAACGAAGACAAAAAAGGAGACAAAACTAACGAGAACGAAGACAAAAAAGGAGACAAAACTAACGAGAACGAAGA